AAATGTGAATTCTAAGTCGTTTCCATTTGCAAGATAGTGCAAAACACAACATACTCTTATAAAGTGACACAGTAGCTGTCTAAAACGTTGTTTTAAAATACCAAATGCATTTTCTATTAGTATTCGACCTGACCCCAATTTTCTATTGAAATTATTTTGTGCACGAGTAAGACGCCCGTTGTCTTTATATGGCGTAATGATGTGTTGTGTACAGGGGTATGCGGAATCAGCCAGTAGATAGTATTCTGTAAACGTAAGAGGTTTTAATAAATCTCATTTCTTTTTCCAAAGAACTTACCTCCACACTTCGATGGTAGTCGCATATAAATAGGAGAGTTTTGTAAGACCCAACTGTCATGACAGGAGCCTGGATGTCCGACAAATATGCTAATAAATTTTCTGTTTTCATCACAGATGGCTTGCAAGCATAATGAAATATTTCCTTTTCTGTCAATGTAGTCGTCCTTACGATCTCCAGTAGGATCAATAGTTATACGAGTGCCATCTAGGCAACCTGCAAAGTAACATGTATTAATATATATGCAGCGTTAATATGCACATAAATCCTTACCTATAACTTATGGAAAATTGCATAAGCTTCGGAAAAATGTACTTGCTTCTTCCTTTTTTGATGTGCTAGGCCATGCAATTATATCCGGACATATGTTGCTAAAGAAAGTTCTCATCCTTCTTATAACTCGGTTTGCTGACGATAAAGAAAGATTAAAGCGATCTGATAAATCTCTAAAACAATATGCTTCGTGACCAGCAAACCATAAAAAACAGCAACGTGAGCTTCTGAAGAAATGTTCAGCTCACTTACTCGCAGTGCAATAAAGTCGGTACTATTTTGAAATTTTATAGCCAAAGAATTAAAAAGGATCCACGAAATGCGGAAATGAGTTTTGAATTCCTTGTCGTCATATTTGCAAACAACATCTTGTATATAATTTTTTATACACACACGTTTTCTTTTTTTTTATGTAATATCGATACACCATTTCTTTAGTAATTCGAATACCAATTCTATATTCTGGTTTTATTGTGTTACTTAAATCACTTAATAAAATATTTATTATGTTTTTATCCATTTCAATATTTATTTATTACAGTTGTTACAATTAAAAATGCAGAATTTTCACAAATGCCGCGCAAACAAACAATACAAAAATTTGAATTCAAACCATAACAGCTGATTTACACATAAACACAAATTTTACTTCATATAAAATGCATGAGTAAAGTCTGCGTAACATTTTCAAATTTCGACAGGGATGTTACGCTCTCTCAGATGCTCTCATTTACTCACAAATTTGTTCGTGAAACGCACTTGTGTATACACAGTGTTACTCAAAGTTACTATGTGTAGCTCGTGGAACAGACCTTTTATTTCAAGTGAAATTTGTGTGATGTGTGAATCAGATGTTGTGGTTTGAATTTAAAATTTTGTATTATTTATTTGCGCGGCACTGGTGTTCTCACCAGATTTTACACAAAGCTGTTCCATGAAAATCTGTGTAAAGAGCGTACTTGTGTTTTCAGTTTGTACTTGTGTTTTACTTGAGTTTTACTATGAGTACCTCATGGAACAGACCTAATATAATAATACTGTATGACAGCAATTACAAACTTTTATATCTTTTTTGATGTTTTAACGGTTTTAGGTTAATTTTTAATTTTTCTTTATAAAAAGAAAAGCGGTTAATAAAAGAACTTTTATTTTAGGAGTTATATATTTTCAGAACACTTGCCGCTTTTATATATCTCTTCAGAACACTTGCCGCTAATAAATAGATAAACATATAAATAGATATCTAGACGTCTAAAACAAAGACGGGTTGTATATTCAAGCAATCTCACAAATTAGTGTAAAATAATTAATAAATCAGACTGAAAGAACAATCACGATGTTCCATAATCTATTACTATTAATCTATTAACTATTTACCTATTAATTTATCTATTAACATTATATATTTATTAAAAGAGGGTAATTGCATTAGAACAATTGCTGCACAAACAAATGTATGTGTAGGCATACATAAAAGCGTTTTTTTTGTTATGAAATACAATATTATTTTTTATTAATTTTAGGAGTCTTTTAAAAATAATAGAGCATTTAAAGATCTATTGAGATCTCTAGGTCGCAGCGCCGAGTTCCCTACATAATACTTGAAAAAGTCTCTTGACTGCGGATATGTGAGTTAGAAATATGAGTTTTTAACTAAAGCGTGACGCCTATTGAAATTAATAGGGCATAATAGATCTCTAGCTCGCAGTGCTAAATACCTCACTTAATACTTACGTTCATTTTGTAGTATAAAATTATACTATAATCAAGAGATTCAAGAATATATTAACTGTAGCAATTGTGAACTGTAATCATTTAGACAAAAAAAAAGTAAAAAAATAATAAATCTTTTATAATAATTAAATTTTATTGAAATAAAATTATTTGTGAATGTTGTTTTTGTAATATTTTCTTAAACAATTATTTTCAGTCATTCTGCTCTGCTATGAAGAAGGCAAAATATTTTTTTATATTATATATATATATATAATTTGCAAGAACAAAAAACTTAAAGTATTTTAAAACGTTTAAAAATGTGTTTTTGATTACATACGAAAACTTAAGTATTAAAGTAAAATTAAAATCTTAAAAAATTAAAAATTTTCTACAAAAATAAAGTTAATTACTCGCTAATAAAGTAAAATACAATATACACAACGAATATTTACAATTAATACTAGATGTAATTACTTTAAAATAAATTTGTTTTAAGAGAGCCTATTGCATTGCCCCAGCGCATTCATTTATCAAATAAAATTTCAATCTATGTAAATATTTTATTTATTTTGCTTTTTATATGTTTTTATATAATGCATACTCGTACGCACGATTATATACATATATATATATACATAAAAACTTCGTGCATGAACTTATAATTAAACATTTATACTTTTGCATTGCAAGGTGCACTGTACTGTCACATATCAAATATTAACAATTAATTTCATTAGTATTTTAAAATTATTATTTAAATATATATTTATAATGGTTTTTTGTTTGTAGTCAGTGTCAGTCTCATTAAATTGAACACAGGAAAAAAAATATTTGTACATTAAAAATAATTTTCAATTGAGGTAGTTTCGTTATAAGTATATGCATTTTAAAACATAGAATTAAGAACTTATAGAACTTATACTAAAATTATAATTATTTTATAAGTTAACATTTTAAAAAACAAATCACTGGCATTAAACTAATATTTTGAATATGCAATTTTTCAGTTTCAGTTTCAGTTTCAGTTTTTCTTTCTTAAGAAATTTTTATTGTTACAATTTTTTTTATTTTTAAATTAAAAATATATTTACTTTTAAATTTACAATTTTCTGTTTTTTTGATTTTTATTTTTTAAATAATAATAATATTTAATTTTACAAAATTTATTTATTAGTTTATCATATGATTTCTTTGTAATCATATGATTTAATAAAAAATTAAAAGCCTCTTATTAACGCAAACTCTTGTGTTTACTTTGCGTGTTTTTATGCTCAAAAAATATTTATGCCTTTCCTCATCAGTCTTATAATAAATATTTATGACATATATTTTGATTTTAACTAGGAAACATGAAGTGTTTGACAAATTGTGAGGAAATTGCATAAAATGATTTGATTTAATGGCAACAAATTTACAGCACATTTTTTCGCAGCCTTTGAAAAACGTGTTAAATTTGAGTGCTTAAACTGATAATCTGTTAAACTAAACTAAATGTATAATCTAAAGGTCTAATATTAATGATATAAGATTTTTAAAAACCTTTTTAGGCACACGGTGATATATTAATCTTGACAAATTTGTTACACTATTAATTAATTTGATTCTTTTAATAATTACACATTAAGGTATTAATAATTTTCAGTGTAAATAATTTTATGCAGAGTACTTGAGCAATGTGAAATATTCTAAAAGTTTTAATAGTATTTCTTACACTATGTGCAATTGATTTTTACTTCTAAATTTATGCATATTTGATTTCCTTAAAGCCATTTCACCGTTTATATTTTCGCACATAAGACGAAATTTGTAAAATATTTTATAAATTAAATTGAAAATTGCAACGTTTTAAGCGTCGCTTATTATCGGCAAAATTGTTTTAATTGTAAATTTCTATTGCTTATACCATACATTAAACATTTAATTAAAATTTTACAATATACGCTAGAATGAATTACAATGCATAATTTTAGAAAAATGCATTTCTTACAATCCCACCCAAATTGCACTTTCGAAAAACTAAAATAATCCCCAGTGCTTAGTTTTAAATTAGTGTCGATACAAAAAAAAAAGACCTATGGTCACCCTAAAAAATAGTGGTGCTCAGAGACTGCCCAGTATTTTGAAAACACTAACATGAAACTTAATAGTAACAAAAAAAAAGAAAAAACAAAATTAAATTAATAAAATGGAGGCAAAAACATCAAAAATTCGCGTCAACGACCAAATAACAACAAAGAATCGTAACAACTGTCTGCAGCATATTGCCAGGCCATAGACAGCATCAATCAGTCGGTGTTGTTTTCTTCGTCGCGCATCAGTTTTGCTGCATTCTCAGATGCAAACTCTTCGCTGTTAACCTTGGCATGCATTGGATGCATAATGACACCACTGCCGTTTTCCGCATAGGACGGAGAATGCGGTGTACTGGCATGGCGTTGCAAGTCTGGTGATTTACAGTCTTGTTTGCGCGCAATGCTCAAGTCTTCAGGATCGTGATCTTCATCTATTTCGTCATGGTGAAGATCTTCACGTTCTTGTTCTCGTTCACGCTCACGCTCAAGGTTTCGTTCGATTTCGCATTCACGCTCGATATCTATGTCGCGTTCCAGCACTAATCGACGTTCTTTTTCACGTTCACGTTCCAGCAATAGTTCACGCTCGCTTTCGTGATCGTATTTGATCGAATAGTGGCTGGGGCTTGGCGTTCGTCTACCTGAATTACTACTCGGACTAGTTGGTATGCGATTCACAGCTGCATGCGCAGCAGCAGCAAATGCCATAGCATGTAATGCACCACGTCCCCCAATGTCCGCTCCGCGATTTTCGAGTGCTTGTTGGATGAATGGATGATCTAGTAATGATGCCGCTGAATGAGAAATAGTGTTTGGTAGATGGTGACGTTCACTGATGCGCTGTTCCTTCGTGTCGCGTTCCTCGTGTACACCTTCGTGCATCGATGATAGAATAGGCTCGGCGTGTCCAAATCCTTGCGCATATGGAAAAGCCGCTGATGCTTCCATGCTACTTGGACTACGCTTCATTGTGCGATTCATTGGCCGACCGGTGGTAATACCTAACTTCTTAACCTTATCGTAAAGTGTGCGCGAGGGTACATTAAACTTACGTGAAGCCTGCAAAGCGCTCATACCATTTCGGACACACTGTATGGCCGACATAATATCATTACGGGTGTATTGTTTATAGCGCTTCCACTCTGGCTTCTGATTATTGCCATTGCTGTTGAAACTTCCACTGAAATTGCGCTTCGGCGTGAAGCCGTCCTCTTCAAAAGAATGATCAGTATAGGGCGAGTGTGGTTCGTCGTTGTATTTCTGAAAAGATGTTTGTGAAATTAATATTAAGAAATATAGAAATATATATTAAGAAATATATATAAAATAGTCGCGTCGCTTACCTTATCACTGCTGTAGTCAGAACCATTGACGCTGTGATTGCTGCTTTGTGGCCTCACAGTGGCACTGTGTTGTGAAGTTTTTTCTATAACAGAATTCTCGTTTTTAACACCCCCGGGGAGCATTAGTGGTAATGGTTGAGAAGAGTCGGCTGGATTTGCTTGAGCCAATACGTTCCGTAAAATAGGTGTATCGCGATTCATTAACATGCTAGATATCGATGAAAGCTTTTTGCGCTTGAGGGGATTCATATCAGGTGCAGATTCATAAACTGAACTTAACATAGCAGCGGCAGAGTTTGGAGAAATGGGCCAAGCTCCACTTACGCGTTCAGAAGGATTGGATTGTTGATGTGCATATGCGGGTGACGTTTGTGGTAAGTTTACATTACTAATCGGTTGAGGTGTTGCACTCGCCGCTGTTGTGGGTGGTGTTGTTGCTTTACCATATAAAGTGGGATAAGTGGGCTTAAAGTTGTTGTAAGGCGGTGATGAGCTGCTTGTTGGTGCAGCAGACGGTGAGATATTCGACGATGTAGAGATCACGGATGAGGAATTATGAGCGTTTTGTATATCAACATGATTTTTACCATTTTCTGCGTCGGCTGTTGACGAAGCCGTAGCTACTGCAGCAGCTGTGTATGGTGGAATTGTGATACCAGCAGAGTTAACGAAAGGATTGCCGATGCGCTCATGATGGTCTGTGTTGTTGCTCTTGAATTTCTCTCTGAGATCTGCCATATCGAAGAGACCCTTTACCTCAAGATCTCCAGCTATTTTCATAATTTTAGGTATTTGACTTTGTGTAACATTAACTTCACCGGTATACATATATTCGAGCAGAGCACGCATTTCAAAGGCCTTGACCCCAGGAAAAATGATGCTGCAGTGATCCATTGGAACGTCTTGCAATATTGACTGAAAATACGGAGAGTTTGCAGCCAACACAACGCGATGAGCTTTAAACTGAACATGATCATCAACAACAATGGTGCAGTCTACATAGCTTTCAACTTTAACTAGAGCATCTAAGATCTCAACCAAATTTGATTTGTGATTATTCCAACGTAAACAGTAGGTTTGCGTTTCTGTCGGTGGACCACCCATGTTTAACGTATTTGATGTATTTGACGAATTCAGTGTAGAGTCGGTTGGCGGATCCCCACCTAGTTCAAAATGCAAACCGCAAGTTACTTCCGAGTTCTTTGTCGGAGGTTTTGCCGGTGTGGATGGTCGATCAGCACTATCTGAAATCAAATCGTTTTCAGGAGACGAGCTGAAATGATAAACTTTCCTTTCAATAATTGCAACTTAACTAAAATTATATATTTTTTTTTTAAAAAGTAATATGATGTTTTTTGAAATTTTTTAAATGGCAAAATTGTCAAAAATACTGCAATTTAAATTTGAAATGTTAGTAAAAAATTTTCTCAACTCATGAACATAAAACGGTTCAAAAATAGGTATTATTGAACTGATAAAAAGCCAAATAGTTTTTAAATTTTAAAAATATAACTTATATAAAATAACTAAAAATAAATTACACTCCCTCTGTTAACGCGACAGGATTAATATCAGTTTAGGTTCAATGTTAGGTTCACACTATCTGAACGCTTCAAACTATAATGGATAATGGACTAATAATCAACTCAGTATAGTATATTTTGACACTTCAAACTGTTGAACCATTACGATTTTATAATCAATAACTATGGACTTTATTTATAAATCCATAAGGTCTAAAACAGTATGAGTCTATGATACTGTCTTTGATAAATTTATGAGTCAGATTTATGAGTTTGAAGTTCACAAAATTTGTTTATGCTATTTTATACCAATAGAGTGGATGAAAAAAAATTCTTCAAAATTATTGAACTTCAAAAAAACAACTCACAAACATTTGTCGCTAAAGAATTTGCCTTCTATCATGCACCAGTTTTCTCTAATCGGCTTCTGAAACATTTTTCGCCAAAAACGTACAAATTTGTATATTTATCCTATCAAAATTGTTACCTTTCGTGACTAAAGTTTTTGTTCAGCAAAACTTTCCCTTAACCCTGTATCTCGGTTAATATTGATATGAATATTGAAATTTCCTTCCAAACGATTTTTTCCGTTTCTTGGACCAAGTTCACACTTTATAATTGCATCCATAATCTATGAATAGTTTTTCCCCTACAGGTACCTCTTAGATAGATTTGAGCCGAATACTGGGGACAGAATGGTGTATAAGACAGTTTGTATAAGATACATGTATATTTTTAGGCACTGACAAGACTATGCAGTCAGACATTTTGTCATAAAGAGAAAATTTCGATTATATATTTAATGCAATATGTTAATACTTTGCATTAAAAACTTTTGCTAACAGGATTTTAAGGCTAACTGGAGATTTGGTGTTAGGAAGTGTCGGATGTGAAGATTAAATCCCTCATATCACACCCTACAACAGCCTTGCTCAAGAAACTCTTCAGAACAGCGCTCTCTGTGCTCAAAAATTTATTAATCGGTTTAGAAAATGTCATCTCTAAAGGAATTTTGGAAGCACTCATGTTCGAACGTCGAGGAATACTTATACAGTTTTATAAAATATTTTGGAATCACTTTCAAATAACGGTTATATACACCGTCCATAAAATACATATCCATAAAATTAAGAATAATATATATTTGTCATAATTTTGGATATATCTGCGGTTTTCATAAGTAAATAAAGGTACAAAGTATTCTCTACTGTACGTAATGTCGTGAATAATATTAATTTTTTAAAGAACTTACAATTTTTCCGTACTTAGTGAGTTTTTTTCTGTTTCATTTTCATTAGAACCCATTTTCGTCAAAAAATATTTCCAAAAAATTTGACTTCCCGATTTGATAAAATTGTGCTTAAAAATTCGATGCGAATGTTGATTTTTAAAATTATTCATTTTTCAAAATGAAAGTATTTTGAAAATAAAACTTTTTGCCAACTTGATTTCAAATTTTTATTTGCATAGTTGCCAGATGGATTGTGCAAATTTATTATCTTAAAAATCTGCATAAAGTAAACATATCTATATGGCTCCATATTCTTGGATGTCCATAGTAGGAAACCAACTCGAGGAACACACCTCGTTCGCGGATTGTGAGTTGCGAGCATTGAAATGATGGAAATATGGATCGAAATAATTAAAAAATTGCATGTAATCGGCGGCAGATACACACGCTACACACATTGCGACTTGTATGTCGCATCGTGTGTGCTTGCGTAAGTAAATAAATATGCAAATAAAACATCCCTCAAATTTAATTTTTTTTTTGTTTTTGTTGTATTCCCAAATATATGTACATTTATATATACAAATATATTTTATTATTTTCGCGGTTCAACGCCGTGTATGCGTTGAATAGAAAATTTTGGCTTAATTTTAATGAGGGCAAATATAAGAAAGGAAAACATACACCACAACAATAACGACAACAACAACAACAAAAAGAAAAGGAAAACCCGGAAAAGTTACTGCTGCCTTGCAATAATTTCGCCGGCTTTCTTTTTTGTGACGTTTTCATGGAAAATGTGCGTTGTTTTTTTTGGAGTTTTTTATTCCCAATTTGAAGTGGTGGTGGAAATGACAGACAGGCATTTGCATTGCCATTTTTTAAATGATGTGAGGGTGGATTTCGAAGACCAAAATAGGTTTTTTAGCAAATTTTTACTTTAACAGAACTTATATCCACTTTAAAATACTTTTTATTTTTTAGATGTTCATTCCATTATGCGAAATAATACCAGTTAAGTTACTATTAGAGTCTATCAATGAAAACATATCTTAATTTCAAAACAAAAATAATGTCAGAACTATTTACGTGTACATACATACATATTCCAATGATATACAATACCTAAATACTGAATAGGTAAATATAAATCAAGCAACATATCGTATCTTCCACGTATTGTAACTATATTCACTCCCAGAAACTATGACCTATTTCTACCGAATGGGTTAACCTGATATAGCGAACAACTTAATTATGTACTAAAACTTCCAAAAGACACCGATTAGGCACCTAATCGACATTAAAATACAAGCTTGACCTCTTCTGTAACCTAATTTAGGCATAACACGAATTTTATAAATATAATGACTAGTATGAATAACCTACGCGAAATTATCTGAATGGATTAACCTATCAAATATAAATGGAAACTGATTTCAAATCAGTTAGCAATTTAACCATAACGGTAGTTGCACAATTTTTAAAGAGTTGCCAACGTTTCCCTAAGACCTTTAATTCATGGCTGTTGTTCCTTACGGACTGTACTGTGTTCAACTCTACTCTATTGAAAAATCTTGAAAGTTTCCAGTGTTTTTCGTTTACGATCCTTTTTGATTCCAATGATACCCTTTTTAAGCTCTCATGTGAAAATAATTAACCTTTAAATCTATATAATATATAATTATAAACAAAGCTTCAGTTATTAGGTATGAATTAGAGTCTAACAAAAATTTAATCTAAAATATTTAACCGAAAGATTAAAGCAAATCTTATGTTCTGCTCCTGTTTAGTATAAATGAAATTAATAATATTTCGCAGTATGCATCTCAGTATACTTAAATTCACTCTTAAGATTATACTTTTCATTCCGTAGAAAAACTATTCTGGCCTCTACTAACACGTGCTGCGCAGTTGGATTTAGTGTGCATAAAAATTTTAAACTCGTCACATGTGCGCATATTGCTCATGAAACCGTCCTCATGTGAAGTTGGCCATATGTTGTGCAGATAATGTACATATATATATTGTATTATATACATTTACTTTACTCACTTTTTAAAAATGCGATCTTACTCTTAATAAAAATATATGACACATGCGAACTGTCAAATGAGAATATGTGAAATTCGAGTTTTAACGGCCGTTTGAAGTGCTCCTTGAGTATGCAAGAAACCCATAAAGTGAATTAGAATCCAGATAAGTGCTGTGTGCGTATCTGAAGAGTATCCATAACTATGTAGGCGTATTTGGTTAGCATTTAAGTTGATTGCGCTATAAATAACTACACACAAAACGTCAAATGTGTTCTGAAAGGCCGGACTGCAGGGCCTTTGAATTAAATTCAAAGCAGGCGTTGCCAATTTTCCCATAAAATAATTCCCTTTCATTTTTTGCTATGCAAAATATCCTATTACACATGTGAACCGGGGTACCTAAGCATATGTAGCAGGTTCCTGCTATTATATGATATGCCATTAGATATCTACAAAAATATTTCTTCGGTTAAACACCATAACAAACCATAATTTTCATAAGTAAATTAAAGAATAAAATAAAAATGAAAAATGATCGTTCGCTTATGGTACGCCGATCCCTGATCGTTGGTAAGAGCAAAAACAACACCAACAACAGCAACAACAACAAGCTTTTGTTTAACAAATTATAGTGTACATAATGAGAATTATATTGCACAATAAAACTGGTGAAAAATGTCAGCACAAAAGAAAAATTGCAATAAAATGCGAAGAAAATAAATGACAGAAACATTTATTAACGACTTGATAGTTTTATTGCGTAGGATATCAGTGAGTAACCCCTGAACACATGTGCACAATGAATTTAATGAAAAAGGTAAAGTATTTTTTCTATTTGGAAAATTTAAGAAAGAAAAAAATCTCATAAAAGGAAATTAAAAAGATCAGTGCACTTATAAATTCACCAGCACAATACACTGCGAAAAAAAGTCATAATAAGATTGTTTGCAAAATGCGTGAAAAATTTGTTTTGTGCAATTTTGATTTATCTTTTTTGTTGTTGCTTCTCTTTGTCTGGATTTTCTTTTAATTGTTTTTTTTTCTTTTTCTTTTTATTTTCATTTTCTATAGCATATGCAATAAGCAGAGAATTTTCACAGACTATGACGCTGTGACGCCAAATGTTGGCATATCTAAGGATGATAAGGACGATAAGGATGATTGCGCAGTTGCACACAACAGTTTGTGTACAGGTTGGTATATCTTCTCCTTCAGTGCTCTCTCACCCGCACTGTCAATTTTTGCAATTTTTCATTTTGCATTGCGCAGGTAGTCTGGAAACGAAGACGAAACTACTCATAAGTATTGCGCAAGTATTTTGTGTTCGTACTTTTTTTTCCAATGAGAAAGGACAATGTCTAGCGTTAATAGTAAAATTAAATAACAATAAAAGTGAACGAATAGGATTAACTTCATTCTGCTTGCATCCCATTGTCCTTCACAAAGATATTAATTCTCATGTCAAATGTTAACACTTTAAATTTAAAAGCATAATTAAAATTGTCTTAAATTAATTGAATTATTGTAATAAAAAGAGACTCAATTTTGACAAATGCGATTAGTATAATAAATATAAATTCATTTAAATTAATCGAATATGTTTAATATTTCGCCATCATTAGCATTTGAAAAGTAACCGCATTTCCGTAATTGCGTCGCGTATAAGAGTTGTGCGCTGGAAGCGTGATACGCTGAATACTCCTGAGAGCGATCAGTTGAGCTTTTTTATTCATACATGCCGCGACCAAAGACGGTCTTTGCTTTTTGCATTTTAACATTTCAGCAAAAAGCTATTAATTTTTTTACATCGAAAATCTTTCAATGTTGGCAATGCTGTCGAAGGGCTTTTGCATTAGGGCTATCAGCTTTCAATGACATTTCATTACATTTCATTACATTTTTGTTTTCGTTTTTTTTTTGTGAACTTGCATTTGAACCGGTTCTGTTTTTGATATCTAATTTTTTGCTTTTTTATTGCGAAATGGCGTTTTTTCATATTTTTTTAATTGCTTTTCAATGTAATGTTTTTGGTTAGATACTTGCATATAATTTTTATAGTTTATTTTGGATTTTATATGCTACCATTTTTAGACCTTTTTGAAGGTTATTACATACATATATACTAATATAATGTATGCGTACAATGTTGTATATTTGTTGTTGCTAAAGTTGAAGACTTAAATTGAATTTTAATTAAATCTACGTATAAATACGTATAATGCTAATATGTGGTTTTGGGATATGCAAAATTAATTAATTTAGTATCTGCGCTGAAATTTATTTCCACTTTAATTAAAATGTATATATATATTATATATGCAATATTTATATATATACGGGGCGGTACCGACTTACTCGGCATAAGTCATAATCATAAGAAATGATTACTTCGGGTGACGATGATAGAACTATTTACCGAGATGCAGAGTGTCGAAGAGAAAAGTCTACCCAAAATACGCTTTTAATCAAAAAATCATAAATCAGATTTTAGTTAATTAAATGTCCTTTAATTAAACGCCTAATAAGTCTTTATATTTGAATAAATTTAAAACGTATGTTGACCAAAGACGTAATAACCTGTCAGATTATGGAATATACATATTAAATGTCATTATAAGTACAGTTTTATTAAAAACTATTTTCAGGTGTATAGTATTTTATATATGTTATTTGCTCATATATAATAGATAATTTTTAGAAATTTGTGTATATAAATTTTTTCAATAACTCTCTTATATATGCCACTGACTTCATTCCACCTGCTGAATTCAAAATTTCAAAGTAGAAACTAACTTTTATTAAATCGAATAAACCATCTATCCTATAATATAATACATATTTTAATTTTATATAATAAATATAATTATTACTTAGTGTAATACATATTTGTTAATATATAATATATATGTACTCATAGATATAGTACAACATATTTAACACATAATTATATAAATATCTATATAATATATTCATATCATATATAATTATATTCATGTAAATATAATAATGTATTTATGTCATAATTGCAGTTTTCTAAATTAAATTTGTGCCTTTTATCTTTATTTATTTCACTATAATGTTTAATTATATTCATTTAATTATTTATAACAGATTT